ATAATTATATCGTAAAGCATTCTTCTATTAGGTTGATTTCTTTGTATAATGCATTTAGAAGGATTAGAATGAAAAGATTTGGTCAAGTTCAGTATCCATTGCAGCCATTACCAGTGGTTTGCAACCAGCCCACACCAGTATCTCCAGGGACATGGTGGATTTCAGCTGCTGCATCACCAACCTGTTGCCAAGGAAACAAGAGAGGGCAAAAAAAAAAAAAAAATCCTCAATGACATTCACGTTCAAGGCAGTCAAGATACCCCTGGAAAGGATGTCAGTAGTGCTATGAAGGAAGCTGAACTAGGCTACTAATTGTAAATTCTAAGCTATCTCCTCTTATATCCAAGTATGCTGTCTGCTTAGATCTCAATCTTTCAGTCATTCTGTTTACCATCATATACTTCAGACATCAGAATAGCAAGAGATATTTCCTAAAGAAAGGAAGAAGCAAAGGGAGAAAAGAGACAGAAGCTAGGAAGGAAACAGGTAATATTAAAGCAGCTAAATGGTGTAAGACACACTTCTAAGGCAAGTGAAGTTGTTAAGTCCTCAGCAAAGTAGGGCTGGCATAAATTTCTCTATATTTGTAGGATTTTAAATGCATTTATATTTGTGTGAAAACAATTGAGAATTTTTATACACTTTTGTGCCCATATTAGAATGTATAAACTTGGTCCAGCATTTTGAGTTTTCGATTTTCATTCAGGTATAAAATATGGAGGGCAGAACTTTTGTGCAACTGCTTCATATGAGAGGCGTCTCTTTCTCTTCACAATATACAGACAACAGTGTATTTAACTCATTAGTTTCATTAATGCTTGTAACTTTCAATGTTTGGGGATATATATGTAATTGTGTAGAAGAGTGTATAGATATGTAGCATACATCTTTGTGAAGACACTGATGAATCCATCACTGTGTATGCCATTGGATATTGATGCCCTGCCCAGGTACCCACACTGGGCCCTCCTTAGTGATCTAGCCTGGACTTTTGGTCAGCTTTCTTCTCTCCAGAAGCACTTAACCCATGCCTACTAACCTCCTGACCTCAGGCTCTTGTCCTTGTAGAATACAACTCTTTCAAATTTGTGGGGCTCAGAATAATCTTCTCTGAAGATAGTAGCTATGAAATGCCCTACACCAGTGCTTCTCAACCTTTCACTTACATATGAATCATTTAGATTCTGATTCAGTAGTTCTGTGTTGCCCATAATCTTCCAGGTGATGCTGAAGATGATGGTCTAAGATAGTAGACTATGTGTTTCCTGAAGATAGCAGCTGATTCTGATTAATGTTTAATACAGTGACTCCTGATTAATGTCTAAGAGAGTGGCTCTCTTACATTGAAATGTAAGAGATGGGAACGTGTTTTGCTACTACATGTAAACTTATTGAGGGAAGAGATTTTACCTCTCTCTATAAATTCCTGGAGCTCTAGAGTATTTGCACATGTATAATTACATACATAAATATTTGGCCAAATGAATTTTACTTCTTTTGCAGTCTCATATTGCCTGGTACAGTGCTAGGTCCATAGCAAAGTATCTATGCAATTCCCATATACTCAAAGTCTTAATTACTCTTTGCTCTACCCTAGCTCTTAGCACAGTGAATGACCCATCAAAGGCACTCAATAAATACAAGTTGAGTAAATTAACAGATGTTAAGAATATTTATTGCATGGTTTCCCTGCATTCCCCTTCCATTCCTCTGCATCTACAAAGGAAATCTCGTAGATCAAAGCTTCTCCAATTCTAATGTGCATATAAATCACCTGGTGAGCTTGATAAAATGCAGATTCTGTCTTAGTAGATGCAGGATGAGGCTGGATGTCGTAAGTGTGGGCGAGGCATCTCTAACTAGATCCCAGGTGATGCCCCAGGAGACTACAGATCACACTTTCAGTAGCAAGAGTATCGAAAAGCCTCCCAAAGATGCAAGCTTCCATATTTAAGTTGAACCCTATCACTGAACTTCAGCATACGTATTTCATAAAAGGTTTTTAAAGATTCTTATTTTTCAGCCTCTTGGGTAAGAGACTCTGGGACACTAAATCTGTATGCAGCAAGATGAGAATTATATAGTCACTGAAATAACACCACCACCAACCAATCATCCAGATCTGCTACATAAGTATTATTCAAGTTTAATTCTCCTCAGTCTTAGGTCTGATGAAAATATAGCCATAAATATAAGGGGTAAGCCCAGAAAGGCTGACATTTGAAGACCAACTAATGATGTTGCCACAAATTTTTTGTGTATGACAAAGAAGCAATAACAATGCTGGGAGAAAATATACAGTTAGATTATCAATGAGAACGAAGGTTCCTAGCTATTGGAAAAGGAAAGAAAAAAATTTTCCAGTGTTGTGTGAGAGATCAGCTCAGCTCATTATTCATTTCTGAATTTGTCTTACTGCTGATACCAAACAATGTCAAACTAACTGAATTGAGTGAAAGTCTTGGGACGAGAATTTGAATGTAAATGTTTAGCCGTAAGTTTGCTACAGAGTAGATAACAATTGAAAGATATATCTTGTTTTTAGATACTTTATTTCAGATGCAAATGTCTACAGCTCACCATACCAAGCGCTTAGAGAAATGTACTTATTAACTGTCATTTGATGACCTCTTATCTCCTTTCATAAAATAATCTTTTAAAATTAGGGCTGCTGTCTATCCTTTAAATATTTTTAAATGCTAGCTGGCAAGCGCCATGCTATGCAATGTAAGGCAGATAATAATAGGTTTTGCTGGTTATTAAGCAGTGCTATGTTGTAGTCAAAAGTCAAAGGGCTCAATTCGGTCATAAAAGGAGCTGATCTTTTATTTGTTGTTATTGCAGTAGAAACCATAGTAATCATCATTATTGCTACTATTCTGTAGAAAGATACTCATTTTGGAAGCTCTGAGTACATTTTCAGATTATGATAACCAAATTTACTCCACCCATTTGCAAATATCATAGAACATTTTGAATCTATTCAGGTAATGCTTTGATATTGAGTCTCATGCATGCCACTTTACACTGTGCCCAAGATGTAAATATACCATGACTATGTCTGACAGAGTTTAATGCATTGTTGAGTAGAATAAATTTTAGGGGTGATAAAAATTAGGTATGTCAACCCCATTTTCCTCTCATATTCTTTATCTCTGGCCTTTAACCTCTTCCTGGTCTTCATCATCCCAAACTCCACTCTACCATTAATGAAACTTGAGCTATGGGAGAGGAATTATGGATAAAAAGAAGCAAAGACAGAATTAGTGTATTAGGAGAGATGGTGCTGAAAGGAAAAGTGCAAGTGAGGGGGACAGCAAAAGGCATGGAAATTTAAGGATTAGCGAGAAGGACATCTTGACCTTGAAGAATCAGAGTAGGAGAAAGAAAGTAATTTTGATAAAGAAAAAAATAAAGCCAGTTTTAATGTATCCCAAAAGTCTCAAGACAGATTAAGACTTATAAGAAAAACAAAAACACAATAGTAGGCTTTATTCTTTTTCACCCACTTTAACCTCAAAAACAAGTTCCTTGGAAATTTCAGTTATTGGATTAGTCATTATCCTAGACACTACTCGTATTATAATTCTTGCCAATTTCAATATCTATGTAGACAATCCTAATTCCTTCACCTCTGTGCTTTAACCCTTTTTCAGTCATGGGCCTCTTCCTCTTAGACTGCTGTCATAATCACATTTATCTCTCCAGCTCATACCTCTAGAAACATGCCTGCAATGTTCCTTGGATATCACCAGATCATGTGACTTCCTCACTGCCTTTCACCTCTCTCAAGTCAATAGTGCCCTCCTTACACAGCTTAATTCCATTGTCTATTGTTAGAATACATTCCTACAGTAGCAAACATTCTTTATTCCCCTTTCCCTCTCTTTTTTTGTAATACTAATAATTTTTTAAAAACTTCATCTCTGGTTAATTCTAACTCTGCGCTTGCTCTTTGCACTCCTGAGGTGAATATGACTGGAGAAAAATACACAAAAAGCCTCACTATTATTCTCAAACAGCCCTTATTTCCCTGGTCTGTTCATTCTCTTGCTCTCCAAAATGGCTATTTCATAACTTCTCCTCTGCCTAAAGCTTCTGCCACCTCCTATCCAATCTTCCATCTTATCTCATGACTTTGCTTTCCCTATTCACTGAGAAAATAGAAATAATCAGAAGAGAACTTCCATAAGCTTGCATCACTGTTTACCCTACTAAAGCCTGTGCCCATAAACTCTGCCTTTCTTTTCATTGCCTAAAATTAAACTTCCACTTGTACTTTAGTGTATTTTCTTCTCTATTGGACGATCTCATTTTTCCTTGCTATTAAATCATTCCTACCAGCCTAAAAAAATGATGTTATTCCTTCAATTAAAAAAAAAAAATTATTGGCTTTGCTTCCCTCCTTAGCTACCTTCCTCTCTTAAATTCATTCCAAGAAGAATTACTTTTCTTATAAAAGAGACCCCAGAGAGCTCTCTTGCCCCTTCCACTATGTGAGGTCACAGAGGGAAAACAGCTGACTCTGAACCAGAAGAGAGCCCTCACCAGACACCAAATCTGCCAGTGCCTAGATCTTGGACTTCTCATCCTCCAGAACTGTGAGAAATAAATTTCTGTTATTTTTAAGCCACCTAGTTTATGGTATTTTGTTACAACAGCCTGAAAGATCAAGACAGTCTCTTAACTCTGACCTCCTTGTTTCATTCATTTTCCCACTATGTTTGATTCTCAACAGCAAAGTTATCATTTAAAAATACAAATCAGATGATATTACCCTGTTCATAACCTTCTGATTGCTTCTAATCCCATTCTAAATAAAAAGTCTATAATGTTTATAAGGCTCCTTGGTACTTCTTTGACTTTCTTACTATTTTCTGCATTGCTTTGCTCAACTATATCTTGAATATTCCAGGCATATCTCACCTTAGGGCATTTATACTGTTTGTTTCTTCTGCATGGAATAGACCTCCTATATAACAACATGATTTACTTTTTTACCTCTTTTTGCTCTTATTTTCCATGCCACCTTCTTAGGACTTCTCTGGCCAATGTCAAATTGTAACCCCTGACCTCTCCATTTCCATCTCCTGCTTTTTTTCCCCCTTCATGGTATTTGTCATTATCTGATACTATTTATTATTTTTGCTTTGTTTATTATCCCTCCTCTAGGACGTAGGTTCTATGAGAGCTGTGAATTTTTTCTACTTGTGAACTATTGTATGTCCAGAAATAAAATTCTAGGTCTCTAATGAGTATTTATCAAATAACAAGTAAAGTACAATTGTGGTATTTTTTTCTTTTGAGTACCATGTCGTATAAGGAAAATCTTAACCCCAGATACTTTTGCAAGAAGATTCTAAGGTTATTAATCTAATAAAGCAATAAACCACCCTAATTAAGTGAGAACTATCCAGCTGGTTATCCAGCTGTTTTCACGGCTCACAGTAACCCACTATTTCCAATCTCTCCCTTTAGTTATTAGATTGGGTTTAGGATCACTAGATCCCTGGTAACTAAAGCCTGGGTCAGAATTTCACTGCATAGGCTGAAAAACCATAAGATCAAGGATTTCATTTAAAAGTAGAAACCAGCAGAAAATGGGATCCAACATTAAAATTCACTTTCAGTAAATTGCAATCAATTGAGTAAACAGTGCCTGATTGAAATCAATCAATTCGATATCAGGTAATATATAGTAGTCACTAAAAACACAAATATGTTCAGTCCCTCAACGAAAGAAAAGCCTATGTGCGCAATTTCTATTTGAATCTAACTTTCTTCCACATACATTTGGGAATAAAATATGTACATTGTATTTTGACTGAAAATACATGAATAATTTATGAGTATACCTACTCACTGTCAGGAATTTAGTAGGTTATCATTCTTCCTTCCTATTTTCATTGTTTGCAATGATTTTAATACTACTTGTGCAAAAAAGTAGTTCTGTGTTTTCTGCCAGAATTTCAGCCAATACTAGTCAGGTGAGAGAGACTTTTGGTTGGTGTTGTTTTCAGTGAGAACCTTCTTGCCTCTCCACTGATATTAGATTTGGAGACTCATGTTAGTGGCCTTGGTAACTACTTTATTTGTCTAAGGTAATGAACAGCAGTCTTCCTACTTTTTAACCTTCCTAGGTTGAAAAACAGCAGGAAGATCCTAGATTCATAGAGCTTCACATAGAATGAGAAGGAAGGGAAGATGGAAAGGAGATGCTGGAATCTTTGAGGACAATTTTATCATGCTAAAAATTTCATTGATATATTGATACTATTTATCTTCTTATGCAAATAGAATTTGGGCTCATGGGCATTTCTCTCCTGAGGGACTGAACATATGTGTATTTTTAGTGGCTGCTGTGTATTTTACCTGATACATAATTGATTGATTCCAGTAGTCAACTAGAAAATGAATTTTCATCTTAATAACATGATGCCCAAGTCCTGCCTCTCCATGTATCCTTTATCTTAGCTCCTTGTGAGCTTAACCATTGTTTCAAGATGTCCTGAGGCAGAAGATACTTTTTCCACTCTTACTGTGGTCTGTCCTCTCCCCTAGGCCATCTTGGACTTGGATCTCCCATACTCTATAGATCAGCCTTTTCCCCATAGCCTTTAACCTCAGCTTTCTCAGCCACTCTGCATTGTTCAGGAATTCAGCTGCATAAGTGTGGAATAAAGTCGCTGAAGACAGCTATGAAGTATGAACAGGTATGAAGTAAGAGGCAGGGGAGGCATGGGAGCCTTGGCTGGGCAGGAAAACTAGGGCAGGGATCCTGGTGCAGAGTTGGTCCAAGCCAAAGGTAATCCAAGAAAAGCAATATGAGGACTTACACCTTCGAAGTTTATGAGAGTCATCATTTTTTAGTAAGAAATGATGAATAACCAAAGAATGCTCTCAGAGAAAAGTGTTATGGAACATACATATATGAGCACTGACAAGTAAGAAGAGACAAATCAAATTTCACTTGCCTGTTTAATTGTAATCTTGAGAGTTCACTGTGGTGTGCTCCGTTCTAGGGGACAGTTAGCTTTCAGTGAGTTTTCTGGACATGTGTACTTGTTACAAACATTTTATTGAATTATTTCTGTCTCTTGTTTGTGAATATCTTGGATAACATTATAGACAACATTATTTCTAAGGAGAAATTGAGGTTTGTATTTTTTTTCTGTTTTTAAGATTGTGTGAAGGAATAAATGTCTGATTTTCTCTTGCAGTGCTGTATCATATGGCTTTTTAAAAAACCTTCACACAGTATGAATGAAAAACCAGAATGTTAGAAACTTGCTAATAATATAGTACTAATCAGAGTTAATTATGTGTTGAATGAATAATTGGTATGTTAGATAAATAATATATATTAGTTTGAAATCAGTATCCATTCCAAAGACATCTTTTGAACATGTCCTGTGTGTTAAGTGGTGGAGAACAAGAGAAGCATAAGATAGGGCCCTGCCATTGAGGGAAAACCCACCACAGTGATTCTTGGAGTTAGTATATATAAGAATCACTTGAATAACTGACTAAAGTAGAGATTCTCAGGATCCACCCAGAAAGATTCTGATGCAAAGAGAATGAGAATGAGCCAGGAAAATACATTTTTAATAAATATCTCAGGAGATTCTAATGCAAGTGGTCTTATCATCATGCTTTGAGAAATGCAGGTCTAACAAGATAAACAGATATATGAACTGGCAAACTACAAAATGCAGTAAATGCTCTAGCAAAGAAGTCACCCTATCTAAAGAAGTCAGGGAAAGTCCCTTAAGAAAAAAACACTGGGCCAGGGTCCTGAAAAGTCAATCGGAGTTTTTCAGGAGCCGAAGAGGATGAAGAGCATTCCAGATCTTGGGCAAAAGAAAAAAATGTGTGAGAAATGTGATGGTGGCATCTAAAGAATGGCATGAGACTCACTGTGAAAGGAACAACTCAGTGTATGGAGGGCAGCAGCAGAGTGAGGCCAGAAAATAGGTTGAATCCCAATTCAACATATTTGTATATTTAAAACTATACGCTTTGGGTAATCAAATGGGACTTTTGAACAGGAGACAGAAAGAATCAAATTATGTCTGTGAGCCAAATCTCTCTTTCTGCATGGTAAAAGATGAACTGGAGAGAAAGAGCCTGGTGGTCAGTAGAAAAACAAAATTGTGGCAATAATTCATCAAGTGGGTTACCCATTTGCTCAGGCCAGATACTTATGAGTCATTTCTGATTCTTTCAGTTTTCCCAACTACCACACTCCAACCAAGAAAATAAAGTCCTATCACTTATACTGAAACATTTATGTTAAATCCACCAGCTTCCATTCATATCTGCTGCCATCAGATAGTTCAGTTACACATCCCTTGTCTGAACTCCAACAGCGTCTTAAGGGATCAGCAATTCCACTTTCCTCTTAGTGGTAGGAATAATAATAAAGAAGTGAATTATATTATGTCAATCCCTTGCTTAGAATAATTCAGTTCCTTCCATATCTACCTAGAAAAGAATCCAAATTATTTTTCAGGACTTCAAGATCCTGCATCATCACACTATTATGTTTTTCTCCAAAGTAATATCACAGTACTCTCTCCCAAGTTCATTTTCATCCAGTCACAAAGGTCAGCAATATTTTCCTACCTCAGCACCTTAGCTTATGCTATTCCCTTCACCTAGGATAGTCTTCCTCTGAAGACTCTCAACAAAGTTGTTTTATGTTTATCATTTAATTTATGCCCAAATGTGCCTTCCACAGAGTCTATTCTGACCATCCTATCTAGTAGCAGATTTCCTATATTCTTATTCTTCTTCCCTTGTTTGTTTCATGCATGAAAACTGTTATAATGTATAATCATTTTCATTCATTTTCTTGTTCAGTTGGTTTTTGTCTGTCTCCTCCACTAGACTGTAATCTCCATAAGGGCAAAGACCATGTCCTTTTTATGTATTCTTGAATTCCCCAGGATAATGCTTAGAAAAGAGTAAATGCTCATTATATATTTATTAAAGGAATAAATGAATGGATTATTGTGATATGATGCAAAGATAGAGTCATTATCACATTTATGACAGTTGAAGTCTCAGAAGTCAGTGAGATCACAAATAAAGCATATGGATCTAAGAGGACTATGGACAAAATATAGAAAGAAAATTATAATATTTATGGAGCAAACAGAAAAAAAGGGGCTTGCTAAACAGGGAGGCCCTCAGTGGCATTAGAAAAGAGGAAGGACTGATAGAAGATAAGGGGGTAGCTGCAACATGCCACAAGCTCTGCTGTATCCCCAGCACCCAGCACAATGCCTAGAGTTTAGTGTAGTAGGTACTCCCCAAACATTTGCCCATCTATGAGATGAAAGATAAAAAATAAGGATAGATTCAACAATACCAAATGCTCAGAGGAAAGCAAGAAAGGTGAGGTGTTAGTAATTAAGAGGTTACCAGTCACTTTAACAAGAACATTTACTTTCTAGCATACTATAAAGTTAATTTGCTTAATCTGTTTATTTCTGTTGTTTGCTTCCTCTGCTAGAATGTATACCTCATGAAGTCAGGAAATCTTTCATTGTTTACTAATGATTCCAACCTCCCAGAATAACTCCCGAAAAAGGCATGAAGACGAGTATTGGACGTTTCTTCAAAGCCTCAGTGTATATACAAAGAGAATTGTTTTGAAGAACGCTTATTTCTTCCGTGAGCATGGATAATAAGAACATCACCATATTATCAAATCAGCCCATTGTTCTACCAGTGAATCAGTTGGATATTAAATGATTCTAAGACTTGTGCTCAGTCATCCTCACAGATTTACTGTGTGATCTTGAGATAGGTTTAAATGTCAGCAGCCATTATTTATTGTTCAATCTGCTCAATGGAAGTCAGTCCTTTAAATCTGTTTATGCAATGACAATAGCAAAGACCAGAAGGCCCTATTTTGTCTTTATCATTATGGCACACATCCCTTCCTGCTCACTGAAGCTATTGTAGATAACATTTTCTCCCCCATCTCCACTCTCCCAATTTATTTAAGGCTAAAAGAGACTGAAGTTTTATGCAGATCAAGGGTTCACTACCCCAGAGAAACCTACAACCACGTTTTCTAATCAATGTGACTAGTCTAAACAATTGGCAGATTATTGTCAAATGTAATTTATTCTTTTTAAATTTAATCTATGCTTCTAAGGGCTTTATTTTATTTCTTCACATTTTTCTTGAGCTTTTCTGAGAAACAGATCTGTTTATATTTCCTGGACTCAATAGAGAAATATGAAATTGCTTTTTTTCATGTGTCTGGTGGTTGAATACTCTTGTAGTTCTGAATATGCTTTTCAATTACTTTAAAAAATTAGCTCTAAAATTGGACAAAGTTTTAAATTGACTCATGTTGATTTATATTTATCAATGTTGAGGAAAATACTATTTGCTGCTAGACTAAGGAGGTTTGGGATAGCAAAGGGGAGGGAAGGCAAGTGAGCTAGATGGTGTGAAGAAATAGTGAATAAAAGGATTAGGAGTGATGGATGCAGGAGAAATTTAGAAAATACTTTGGAGGGAGAAATAACTGCCTGTGAGAGTGCTTGTACAGAGAGGTTGAATATTTTAAGACTAATCATTTATACATCTGATTTTTAAATAACAGGTGTATGTCATATATTTAGATGTCAAAAAACTGTTGCTACTAGTGGCACCAGAGCCAAAAGGATTGCAGTTATCAGGGCATCAATTCATCAGGACTGCAGAGGAGAGGAGACATATGTTCTGACTACTCTCCATTGATTGGTCAGTTGCTGTTTCCATAGCAATCCATGTACAACTCAGACATTTTTCCCCCTGTCTGCATTACCTCCATTACATAGCAAACAACATCAAGATTAATAAACAGACATACTTGGTGAATGTAATAAGATACTGCAGCCATTGTTCTTGTGGCTGATTTTCTAGCTGTAGAATAGATAATAGTCTATATCACATCCCAATCACTGACACAGCAGCAAAGGCACCTCATATTTTGTCATATTGTTGGGAAAAATTACCTCTATCTAGATAGTTTCTTGGACCATACCCATATGCTTAGGATAATAATGGGGTGTGCTTTAAGCTGGAAAGAGCGAATCCACTAGGGTTTCTTCAAATTTCTTCATTTACATGTATATTTAGATTTGCATGTAGAATGAGCACATTTATTTAAGGTGTGGCTGCCATCTAAACAGTTCTTTGAGACTATTTAAAACTATTCCTCTGTATTGTGAATCTGAAAAAGTAATGATTGCTAGTCCTCAGAAACTTGAACTAGAAAGATATTTTTCATCCAATTAGCTTGTTTCACTGTTCTCGTCTCTAAATGCAACCAAAAATTTCTGAGTCCTCATTGTAGTGGAATTTGTTGCTGTAGTGGAAGTGACCATCTGTTTTCTATTTACTCTGCTTTTGAAAACAGTACTTGGTTTATCTATGGGTAAGTTATTTCATCCGTAAGGTCATGTACTTTGAGGCTGCTAACTCCATTCCCAGCTCCAGGGGTGAGAAATAGTTTAGCTCAGGAGTGGCCTATCAGGGTCGCATGTTCTAGTAATGGGGCCAAGTATGGGGCCAAGGCCAAGCTAGGAGGCAGGACCAGAGTTAATTTGAAACTTTTGTCTGAGCAACTGGAAAAGAGGCAAGAGTCATCTTGTGGACTTTGGTCTGAGAGAATGAATCTGGAGCAGCTAGACAGAGAGAACCTGACTGGGACTGAAGCCATATAGAGGAGAGCAGAAACAAGAGATAGAGAGAAAGCTGTAAAATAGGAATCACAGTTGTATTTTCTTCATAGAATGCTGTGAAAGTTAAATGAGTTAATTATACAAAGTACTTAACAGTTCCTGACATGTAGAAAGTGTTCAAGAAAGTTTACTATTATTGGTATTAACATTGTTTAAACCCTTGGGTCAAACTGTACCTAGAGTCAGGCCTTATCCTTGGTCTTTGAGTTATATGGACCAAAAAATTTCTCCTACCTCATCCCCTAGGTTTAAATTGGGTTTCTGGCTTTTGTAATTGAAAAAGTTTCTGTTTTTTTTTTTTTTCTGTCTCTCTCCGTGTGTGTGTGTGTGTGTATTATATATATACTCTATATCTATTATATATAAGAAAGGAATATACATTAATCTGAATTTGTATTCTTTACCCAGCTATTCTACTTACTGGCATATATCTAAAATGTGAATAACACTTATGCACAAACACAGTCATTGTAGTGTTAAATATAATGACAAAAAAGCTCCAACTCCTAATTTGTCAAACACATAACTGGGAAGATGAAGTACCTAACATCTATCTATAGAATCATATATTGTGCTGTCATTAAAGTTATGGCCAGTGACCATTTTTAATATGTTGGCTTATGATGTTATGTTAAATGAAAAAAAAAAAAAAAAAAAACAGAACACAGCATGTATTTACAGTATGTGTGCATGATCACAAATATATGAAATAATTATATTAAAAATTGTTTGTGTCTTGGGACTATGATTGACTTGTTTTCATTTTACTTTTCAGCACTTTGTAAATTATATATAATAAGCACTTAGTATCTTAAATCTTTTTTAATCTATACATTTATAGATTTTACATAGTCCAAAAATAGATTTGCTATTATTTTAGATCTATATTTAGAAAAGGGAATTTTGACAAATGAAGAAATATACAGAACATTTTGAAACGTTCTCTGACTTCATCATTTTTATAGATTTTATTGGAAGTTCAGTCTGAGAAGTTGTAGCTTACTCAACATTCAGTATTTGGCAGACATTTAAGACTCAGAAGACATGGATGTGAATCATATTTCAGTTTTTTCATTTCTATTATAGAATTTTTTTTCTGTATGCAGTGAAGAGTGGATGCACAGATCTAAATTTGCATCTGGTTTCCATAGTAACTGCTTTTAGGCTTTTAACATTAGGCACCACCTGTTGTTCTATGGACAAACCTCCAAAAACCATCACATATATGGAGGGGATAAAGGATACACATACCTGTCTAAATAGCACTTCTCTAGCGTACTGTTTCTCACTGATAGCCACAGGGTATCATACCTGAAATATCTAACACACTATCATGTACCTTTTAACAATGTTTGTACATACAGCAACTGCAGTTTATAAATCTAAAATATTAAATGTTTACTTTTATACATTGTTATGCCAATACAAATCTCTCAACCAAGCATAACAGAACATTAAAGAGCTGCAGAACTATGCTGTGTATTTTATGTGATGCTTGAAGATTCTGAAAATTACAACATAGTTAAAACTCACACAAGCTCACTGGTTTTCTAGATTTGCACAAGAAAACACACACAGAGTCACACTTCTAAATATATCAGGTTATTTTAGAAATTGTGCAAACCCTTTTTCTCTGATTCATTTTTAGTCTTTCCTGCTTGCAAGCAAACCAGCTGTTGGGGAAGACTAAAGGGTTTTCCTTAATTAAGATGATTTCTCATTGCTCTGACTTAAAGACCCTAAATTATGATAGGAGGAGTCTCCCTCCCTAAAAAGACTTGTTTTGCAAAGGGCAAAAATAATTTTTAGAAACTGGCTATATGTGATTAAACTTTTTTTTTCCCTAGACATTATATTCAACCTGAATGTGATTAAACTTTTAAAGTCAGTTAGAAAAAAAACTCAAAAAAACCTGAAACTCATTTTGAAAAAAAAATTATCGGCTGCCCAAAATGGTTTATAGAATATATTATAAAAGAATGTGGCTCACAGTCTAAAACAATCAATTGAAACGGGATTATTTTAGCTGTAAATTGAGTATATCTATTATTTTTTATTTCTCTATTTGCTTCCCAACATGTGATTTTTCCTATCATCAGGTTATTAACTCAGCTACCTATCAATCCAGCATCTAAGTCAGGAATTCTGATCAGGTTCTGTCAGTCTTAACCTCTTAATTTCTGACATTCATGTTGCTTTTGTAAATGCACAATTCTCCTCCCCACCATGCCTTTTCTTCTCTTTCCTTTTCATTGTGAAGCAATGGAAAAAAGGTTATTTCTGAAGGCTAACAGGCCTAGTTCAAGCCCCAGCTTCACACATATGTTAGTCCATTTTCTGCTGCTTATAAGAGTACCTGAAAATGGGTAATTAATAAAGAAAAGAAATTTATTTCTTACAGTTATGGAGGCTGAGAAGTCCACGGTCAAGGGGCTGCATCTTGTGAAGGCTTTCTTGCTGGTGGGGACTCTCTGCAGATTCCCAAGTTAACAAAGGACATCACATAGCAAGGTGCTAGCTCATTTTTCTCTTCTCCTTCTTATCAAGCCACTAATCTTATTCCCATGATAACCCATTAAACCATTAACTAATGAATGGATTAATCCATTTATGAGGGCAGAGCCCTCATGACCCAATCACCTCTTACAGGCCCACCTCTCAGTACTACCACATTGGAGATTAAATTTCAACATGAATTTTGAAGGGGACAAATATTCAAACCATAGCAACATGCATTAGCCATATGACTTGTCTGAGCTTCATGTTTCTCTGAAGACAGAGGTAATAAGACAAATTTCACATAGTAAAGTGAGGATGAAATATACCAAAGCATATATTACTAAACATGATTCTTAGGAGGCACTCACAACTTTTATTTCCCTGATCTTTCTTCACTCCAAGGTTTTCCAAGAACCTCAGCTGGAGGTTAAAGCAGTCAGTTCCTGGTACCGCTAAAAAACCCAGCAATTTTCCCTTCCATACACCTGCTACATGGCCTTTGTCCTTATCTCCACTTTCTTACTATCCACAGAGGTAAAGCAGCAGGGTAACCCCAAGGCTTCAGGGAAATGAAATGCATTTCCTTCTCATAAACAGTTATAGCCTGCTGGTTCAAATCATGGTAAAGCAGAATATAACCTCCAGATCCCTGAAAAGAAGCAATCAAAATAGGATTAAAGGAGATGATATTTGCAAAGTGCTTAGCACAGTGCCCAACACACAGTAAATGCTCAGCAAATATTATCTCTTCCCATAGATTATTTTTGGAATGAATGGCTAAATAGTTCAGTAAGGGCACCGCAAGACGTTTAGTTGAACAGTATTAAATGAACTAGTAATAATGGTGATCATGAGTATGAAACCAACTTCTGGTTATACAAGAATTCGCAGAGATGAAATTTGAGGTGAAACATAAAGGGTAGGATATCTCACTTCTCTCAAGACAGAGTGGTTGATTAAATTGAGATAGAAACCACAACACTTTTACTTCATTCACAGCTGAAATCAATATAGAATGACTCCCAAAAAATATTTCATCTTGGATTTTAGAAATATGATTCTGGAACATAATAATCTCTAATGTGAACAAGAGTGACAGATCAAACTGTTCTGAACTTTTCATGATAACATCAACACTCTGTCAACTTTACCATTAAAACAGAGGGAAAAAAATAGATTAAAAAGAAAAAGCTATATTTTTGGTCTGAAATCTGTAAAGATGAAAGTTGCTCATTCCACCCCAAATCCTCCCACTGTAGTCTGAAGAAATATTAGTGATAAGAAAAATATTATAGCTTGTTTAGAATGATAACATTTGACTGGGCATGGCGGTTCATGCCTGTAATCTTCCAGCACTATGGGAAGCTGAGGCAGGCAGATCTCTTAAGCTCAGGGGCTCGAGATGAGCCTGGGCAACAGGGAGAAACTCTGTCTCTACAAAAAAAAAAAAAAAAATACCAAAAATTGGCTGGGCATGGTGGCACATACCTGTAGCCCTAGCTACTCAGGAGGTTGATACTGAGGATTGATTGAGTCCAGGAGTTTGAGGCTGCAGTGAGCCATGAGTGCACCACTGCACTCCAGCTTGGTAATGAGAGTAAGACCTTGTCTAAAATACAAAAAAAAAAAAAAAAAAAAAAAAAAAAAAAAAAAAAA